AGCAGGAAGAAAACAACATGATTCAATGCAACAGCTAAAAATTTCTGCCCAAGCAGCAATCTCTGGCTTTTATCTTTGGTGGAACTGTCAATCCCAGAGAAGAATCTTTAGATAACTGAAATAACGGTATTGCTATTTCTACTTCAGTCATGTTATTTTCTACTGGTGAGAGATGCAATTTAAAACAAACAAAAAAACCCAACAACATGATATGACTCTTGAACAAAAAAGGGCATAATTGAATCTTCTCTAAAACCTACAGTGCCAAATCATTGGCCAGAAGAATGTGATGTTTTGTACATCCAACACAACTTCCAAACTGTGGCCTGACTCTTGAGACTGCACCACTCAAAGTCAGAAAGGACGGCTGCAAAAATAAAACACAGACAACGCCCACACTCAAAGAGTGCATCTATCCAAGACCATACCCAAGAAAAGGAGAGTTAGACAAGAGCCAAGCTGATTTCAACATGATAGCTTAAGTTCCCTATTACTAAGCTTTTATCTAAAATCTTTCAAGTGTTAGCAGAAAATCTCGCGTATGCATTTTAATTCAGATTTTAGACCCCAGAGCTTTTCCCAATCACTTCACTGTGGTCCTTAAAAATGTCTAAAATAGAACATTTGCTCTACAATATCCTATTGCAGCGGTTAAGGAGAATCCCTCATATCATACGGCCATCGCAGTTCTTGAAGAGTGCTGCAGAAGAACATGTTGTGTTTCAAATACCTTTTGCTTTTTGGACTCTCCTTGTGACAAAGTGGGAGGCCCATTACAGGCACTTCCGCGGCTCCAGAACTTAAAAAATATCCGTAGCTCAAACTGGACACAAGACCTTTAAACACCAGAGTGCAGTGACTGCCGCAAACCAAACCAGACCAAGCCAAACCAGTACATGTGAGGAGTCGCCCCTTATCACTAACTAACGACTGGCACGTTCTCTGAGCTGACATCTGAGATGGCACCGGTTTTGCACTTCTCTATTATTTCTTTTCCATTTCTTCCACGGAAGCGCTGCAAGTTACGAGGAAGTTTAGCATTTTTCAGACAACCAAACATACACCACCTCCTACCTAGAGAGCTTAACCCCACAGGTTTTACAAGAGTCGTCCTCATTTCCAAGAGAAGAAAAAGCCCCCCTTAAAGCCGTATTCGAAACCAATCCATCTTCTCAAAGATGTAATATGTCCTAGCAGGAAGCATACTCCACTTTTTCGCTTTGGCAAAAGAATCAGAAAGACCCAATTCAACGAGTTATTTGGGTAATGGTCAGATTCCAGCTGCTTCTAGAACCCTGTAATAACACGTGTACATCTAGCATTTACAGGGACGGACAGGAAGCAGAAAGAAGTTATTTTTAAGCGCACTGGGAAAGGACAAGGACACGCTGTGACACGTGCCTAGGCTGCCCGGCTCACCCAGCAGAAAGAGCTGTGCCATCAGAACGGCCGAACAGGAGCGCGTTACACCGTCGCCCTAC